GGAAGTATTTCAAAGGTTTTAGTGCATTTAATTATATTTCTCCTTGGTAGTTGGCAGTAATGTTTTCTCATCCTTTGATATCAGATTCATAGTGGAGCTACACATGTTAACGTAGACGTGGTCCCCAACAGGAAGGATGGAACCAGGATGGTTTTGATTGAGGGTATACAGTTTATCTACCGTTTCTCTGAATTTATTCTTTCTGTTGTATCAAGTGTTGCCTTCTTGATCTTCATCTATGGATTATCCTTATGTTTTGAAATGCAGACAATGGTGGTGGGATGAATCCTGAAAAGATGCGACACTGCATGTCTCTAGGATACTCTGCAAAGAGCAAGCTTGCAAACACCATTGGACAATGTAACGATTCTTCTTACTGCGGCATATATATCAAATGTTTACATCAAGACTCATATACTTCTTATAGATGGCAATGGATTCAAGACTAGTACAATGAGACTCGGAGCTGATGTCATTGTATTCTCACGTTGCTGTGGAAAAGATGGAAAAAGGTTTGTTATCTATTACCGCGCTATTGCTCCTTCCACCTATCATGTCTTTCATGATTTTGCTGAATTATATCTTATCGTATAGAAAAATATCAACAATAGTAAAGCTATAATTTCCTGATCATAGTTCTGTTTAACTTGATGTTGGTTTTAGCTCTACACAGAGCATTGGGCTGCTATCATATACATTTCTGAAGAGCACAGGAAAAGAGGACATTGTTGTACCCATGGTAATCTACCTTTATTTAACTCTATGGCATTGTTAGGGGAAATTCCATTTTTGCGCCTTTGTTTATCTATTAAGATTATGCTGGTATGGAAAAATATTCATATACTGGGCTCAACACTTGATAATCTAGAATGATACAATTATAAGCATTGGTTTAGTTACGTAGACAACTTTTCAGACCATATTTTGTTTGAAATATTGTTCTCATTTACTGTTGAAGGAAATGGTAAGCAGAAACTTGTCAACTATACTCTCTTTTTCAGATGAGCGAGTTATATTCTGCAGAGAAAGCTATCATTATCATAGCTTGGATTGGAATTTGGTGTCAGAATTCTTAATTTATTCGTGCTTCACAACTATCATATATTAGGCTCAAATTTCTATTGAAATAGCTTCATGTCCAGAACATAGGTTCTTAATAGTTCATCAGGCTTTTGTAGTCAGTTTATCTCTTTTAATCTTCTTCTGGTTGGTTTAAATAAAAGCTTGACTATGAAAGAAGTGGTTATGAATGGAGTCCAATTGTACGGTCTTCGGCTAGTGATTGGAATAAGAACGTGGAAACAGTAGTCCAATGGTCGCCATTCTCTTCGGAAGACGATCTTCTTTGCCAGGTAAAACTTTTTCCTTTGTCCCATGAGAGTTTCTTAGTATTCTATAGGTATGTTTTATTTGCATTGTGTTCTCTATCATCTTTTGATGTGGGTTCTTAAACACTGTTACCTCTTTATTAATATTTTCACTAATATGTTGCTCTGGCTATTGTAGTTTAATCTAATGAAGGATCATGGCACAAGGATTATCATATATAACCTCTGGGAAGATGACCAAGGAATGCTAGAACTTGATTTTGACACTGATCCGCATGTATGTATTCTTACTACTGAATATAGATAATTTTGATCTGCAATGACGCAAAAGCTTATGTATCCATATAATTGACATGTGGTTTGTTGCAGGATATCCAACTTAGAGGGGCCAATCGAGATGAGAAAAGTATCAATATGGCTACTCAGTTCCCTAACTCTAAACACTTCTTGACATACAAGCACTCACTCAGGGTATAAAATTCTTTCCATCTTTCCTGTAGTTTGGTTCAGTCTCCCGTTACTATCATTGATATGGTTCTTAAAAGACTGAAACAGAGGATCCAATGGTGGTTTGAAGTCAATAACTTGATTTTGAATGATTAGGATTCCTAGAAAAAGTTTGGCTGATGTTTCTTTTGTTTAATGAAATTCATTTGTTACGTTTTGGCTTGTTTCCAGAGTTATGTATCTATTCTATACCTAAGAGTTCCATCTGAGTTCCGTATCATTCTCCGAGGAAGAGATGTTGAGCATCACAACATTGTGAATGACATGATGCACACAGACCGAATTACTTATAAGCCAAAAGATGGCGCTGATGGATTTTCTAAGTCTTCCAGTGTATGTTTTCATAACTTATTATAGTCAGATGTCTTCTCTAAATTTTTTTTCCTGAGGAATTTAAGCAGATTTTAGATAATAACTAAAAGTTGGTCGTGTGTTCAATATTTTCAACAGATGTCTGCTGTTGTGACCATTGGATTTGTTAAGGATGCAAAACATCACGTGGATGTTCAGGGCTTCAATGTTTACCACAAAAATCGCCTTATTAAGGTTTTCTGTTTCTTCTAGCTTGTGTTTTCTTTGTTCTTGTCAGTTTTTTCCCATACCCTGCCTTAAAGTTTCATGAAAAGAAAATCAAGTCGATGCTTTCGTTTATTATCGGTCCACTTGTTTTGTCAGCCATTTTGGAGGTTATGGAATGCAGCAGGTAGTGATGGTCGTGGGGTTATAGGTATAGTTTTTAACTGGAAGGTCTATTATCTGATTACCCTTTTAGTATGTGAAGTCTAATGCTAGTTTATTCTGTTACTAAGGTGTCTTGGAAGCTAATTTCGTTGAGCCTGCTCATGATAAGCAAGGGTTTGAGCGTACAACAGTTTTGTCGAGACTGGAGACACGGCTAATTCAAATGCAGAAGACTTATTGGTCTGGTGGTCTTCTCGTGCTTTTAAATTCACCCTTAACTTTGGATGTTTCATGGGACCCTTTGGGCTTATGTTTTCGTTTTGCTTTTACTCAGGAGATCTAAGTGTCACAAAATTGGATATGCGCAGAGGCAAGGCAAAAAGTCTGTAAAGGATTCCGAAGACAAAGGTACAATATTTTTTTTGCTGCATTTAACATCATCTTTTAAAAAAAACATTGTGCTGAAAAATCTCTTGGAAATATTTCCCATATTGTAGAATCATCACCAGAGTATGATCCTAAAGGATCTGACTCATCAAGGAAAAGGACTGCTGCTTCGAGCTTTAAAAGTCCAGCTGCACGTTCAGAAAATTTTGACTCAAGACCAAATGTGACTCGAGGAAAAGGAGCTGTTAAAGATTCTAAAGGGAGCGGTTTTGTATCATCAGAAAACTTTGACTCAAGACCAAATGTGAGTCGAGGGAAAGGAGCTGTTAAAGGTTCTAAAGGGAGCAGTTCTGTATCATCAGAGGAAGGTGGCAAACTTGGAAACATCTCTTCCAAATTTAACAAACAAGCAGAGCCTCAAGGAGCTCGAGCGGTAGAGGTCACCAACAGTGATGACGACTCCGAATATGATACTGTTTCTGGAAGAAATGTCACGGAGCTTCCTGAGAAGGTATACATGCTCTTTTTTCCCATATACGATTTCTCATGTAAAAGGATTGAGAACATAACTTTATGTACTGCTTCTAACAGAGTTCTGAACTACCCAAGTTTTTGTCTGGTTCACGTACCCTCCGTCAATTGGAACAAGAGAATGAAGAGTTAAGAGAGAGGTTTGTTATCTTTTATACCATAATAATTTGCTGATACGATTCATGCTTCATACTTGTCTGAACAGTGGAAACTGTGCTTTTCTTCAGGCTAAACAAAAAAGAAGATGTTTTCATGGTTTTGCAAGAGGAATTGCGACGTGAGAAAGATCTACGCAAGAAACTTGAAGCTGAGGTAAGATTTACTTTTTGACATTTACTGTGTCTGTTTGCAAACCTATAAAAACACGCACTGATGGATTCCTCTTGTCATTGAAGGTTCAAGCAACAAAGGACAAGTTAGAAGAAATGGAAAAAGAGCAAGCGAGTTTAATCGACATATTCTCAGAAGATAGAGACAAACGCGACAAGGAGGAAGAAAATCTCAGAAATAAGCTAGAGGTTATCATCCATTCAAACCAGCTTTCTCTAAATATTCTCTCATATTGAAGAAATTGAATGAGTTAACTTTGTGGTTGCAGGAGGCATCAAACACGATCCAAGAGTTGTTAGATGGAAAAACTCGAGGGAGATAAAGCGATGAACAGAGACATTAGAGGTGGGAACTTAGAGGAAAGATGTGGACTGAGGATAGTATTGACTCGTTAGGTTTTTGTAGTGATGACACAGTATGGTCTCTGACCCGACCCGACCAGACCAGAGTTGTAGAGTGAGGTTTTTGTTTTGAAACCTTTGGATTTGGTTCCTGTTACGCATTTCCAACCTCCTCTCCCAAATCCAACTAACTCACAAAGTTCGGTTTTTGCAGTCAATATGATTAATTAGTGTCAACAAATTATTTTACATGAGCTTATAAATCCGTCTTTTTCTTGAGGGGCATGACATCGTTTTGATTGATTGATCCAAGAATACACTAAAATTCCACCAATGCTTATCGTTCCAAACGTATCAGCAAGTCTCAATCAAGGCCATAGTTTGCTTACACTAGATTTTGGATCCGTGTTATGCCTAGATCTTTCGTATAATTTTTCGGTAAAAATCATATGCAACCAATAATATTTATTGAAATATTACGATGTCTATATTGGTGATGGTAAAAAATATACATCTATTTAAAT